TAAAAAATGTGCGCACGTGTGTTACTTAACAGGCTGTTATCGATGCCCACATATTCCCCGTCCTAATAGAAATTTTGGGAAAAGCCGAGTTCAAAACTAGAAGAGAAGCAGCTTGGGCTATCACTAACACTACCAGCGGTGGACAACCTGAACAAATACGTTATCTTGTTGTACAAGGATGCATTCCACCATTATGTGATTTACTGACAGTCATGGATGCTAAGGTGATCCAGGTTGCGTTAAACGGTTTAGAAAATATTTTGCGTCTCGGAAACCAAGATGCCATGCATAATGGTCTTAATCAGTTTGCGGTATTAATCGAAGAATGTTTCGGTAAGTATACAATCGGCAAAAAAAATTTCGTTAAAAAATCGATGGTGCAAAAATCTTAATTTTTATGTTTCAGGCCTAAATAAAATAGAATTTTTGCAATCTCATCAAAACATAGAAATCTACCAAAAGGCCTTCGATATTATTGAACGATACTTCGGTTCTGAGGAAGAAGATACGCGCATTGTACCCACCATAGATTCTCAAGGACATCAATTTCAATTTGGTGCGCCCGATTCAGCTCAACTACCGGTCCAAGGCTTTGAGTTTTAATGAATTAAGTTTGATTAAAACACCGAATGTACCTTCGAATTCGATCTTGTTTCATTCGTTACGTTTATGATTATTTCTCGTGACCGGACAATCCCTGAAATTGAAGAATCGATCAGCTGCAAAGAGTGGTATATTTATACACACATACTTTGAATTCGTTTATATTCGATAAAAAGAACGAAAAAAAAAAAAGAAAAAAGAAAACATCAGTAATAGCTCGAAGTGATCAGTTTTTTTTGCTCGATGATGAAAATGAGTAAAATGTTTGTAAGCAGTTACTTTAAATGGTTTTCTCTTATTACTTTTAGCTACACCATACGTTTCTAAGTTTTATCACAACGCGATTGCATCTACGAACCTACGCCAAATTGTGACGGTGTTTTCATCGGGAGCATCGTTAACGATTTGGGAAGGCTCACTTTTCGAAACTCATACATAAATGTATTTAGTATGAAACATTCAGTTTATTGAAATTAACAAAATAAATATCTTAGCGCTTAAGTAGAAACGGATAAGTACGGAAACAATGATCAAGACGATTAACTATCGAGGCAGACCTGGCACCCTCGTACGACGTATGACTGACTCAGAATTACGAAAAACTTGCACAACTGGCAAGACACTAACGACTGAAGTACGCGACTACGTAGCCAACACGGACAACATTACGCAACGCGGTACTCACCCCTCCTTACTACATTAGGTAGGAACATGACCAATTAAACTTTTTTACTGTAAATACGTATCTTGTAATTTTAAGGCTATTCTATACAGAGTGCCCTTAAGAAGCGAAGCAACATTTACGTCGGATTAGCGTAATTACTTTCTACATTTTTTTTTTGTTTTTGTTTCATGTTTTTAATATTTTATCTTATATCGGCGCAGATGTATTGCTGGAATATTTTGTTACCTACGTTAAATTAAATTAATTGCGCAAATTTTAATATATTTCCGCATTCGTATCAAAATTAAGGACTGCACAATATATAATGATTACATGTTCAATCGTGCTTAAAAAAATTCCAAGAGACGAATTTTCAATCTTTTTCAGTGATTTTGTCCCAAGATCATGCTTTTACAGGATTACAACAATAAATATTTTTGAAAATGAGTTTCCGTTTTGTTATGTGAGCAGAAATCTACGCAAATATGCTTATGATAAGGATTGATCGTATCGCGGTTGTACAGCACATAAAATTTTGGACATTCTGTATAAAAGGTCTGTGACTGTATAAAATGTATTTATTATTTAGGTTTGACGGTACCATGCTATATTATACAAGATAATATAAATATATATTACCTACTTTTAGTTACTGACTTGAATTATTACGACAGAGAAGGACTGTAATATAAGAACGTGAGCGACTACTTTGCTAATAACGGTACTTTAGCAAGGTGGGTACTTACGAGTACTTGTTGCCAATTTATAAAATGCTTACCAAATAGGATATAAGCATATTGGAAAGGTTTTGTCATTTTATGTTGTGCACGCTATTCTTAAATAAAATGTGATAAAAATATTTCGAAACTTTATTATTAAATTAATTATGTCAATACACGCATATACACCGATTAATCGATTTGATTGATCTTCCTCGAATCTATCTTTTATGCAAATTATCAGAGTTAACACAACTGCAAAACCGTTATCTTTTGGAGAAGTTCTTAAAAAATATATTAATGTGTGTTTTCAAGAAATAAAACTCGTTCGTCATGTATAGTTTTAAAGTTATCTCCGGTAAAATAAAAAAAAAAAATGACAGAATTATTTTTCAGTCTATGTGATTTCGTTTGCAATACAATTCGGTATAGACGCATTGTAAATTGGCAATTCGGGACATTAATAACGATACGTGGACTACAGATTGACGTACTATACGGTAATATGAAACCACGATGTAACGTGTACGGAATGACATCTATTCATTGCAAGTTATTTTAAAGCTGAACAAACATGTCATTTAAGAGCATAACTGAAATCATGCCAGAGGCATTGATCTTGTTATATTTTTCGAAAATTTGTAGGAACTGCCAAATCACCATCGGAAATCTTTATCTAAAGATGTTGATTTTCTGTATTGTCATTTGATGAAACGAAATAAAGTTGAATATTAATACACAACATTCATATTTAATCAATCCTGAATACATAAATATACTGAAAATTATGAGAATTGTGCATCTTAATTAATATTTAGTTTTTAAGTTAATACTGTAATACTATAACAAATCACCTAGTTTCACTTTGTATAGTTGACAAGTATCACAGTCTATGACGTTCTGGAAGAGAGCAGCTTGTATACTTAAAATTTGCAGCTGATTCTGGCAATACTCTGACAACAGTTCCATCCATGAGTCGAGTTACCAGAGGAGCCAAAATATCTTTCTCTATTTTATCAGATAGTTTCTTCATCATTTGCATTTCAATGAATTCTAATTCCTTTTGTATTGGCTTGTATCCATCAATGATCATTGTTATTATATAAACAGCATGTTTAATTAACGGTTTTTCTCTATCACAAAAATTGTGAAATGCTTTTATTGCCTCTGGATTGATGCTCAACAAATCTTGGACTATCTAAAATATGTAAAAAGATAAGAATTCTATCCCAAATAATTTGCATTATCAAGAGTGTGCAACAAATATTGACCAAAATACTCACTACTACCCGTTTTTGAGAAATTTGTTGTTTCAACTTATAAATAGTTTGTCCAACATCATTTGGAAAATCTTGTGGTATTAAAGTCAAGTACTCGTTGTTACCCAAAATAATAGTACTTAATTGACCAAGTAATTGTGCTAAGCAGTTTAGGGTATTTGTTTCATTCCCAAACAGAATAATAACTACAGGCTTCCCAGGATACAAAGCTATATCATATATTCCAGAGGATACATCATTCCAGATACTTGGTTTTTGATTATAAAATTGTGTTTGTATAACCTCCATCTTTTCATTTAATGTTTTATCTACTGCACCTAAATCCAACTTATTTACTTTATCATTTTCTTCTACTTGGTTCTCTTCTATAACTATTTCTTCAATTATTTCTTGATTAAATATTATCATACATGGGATTATAATTATAACTGCAGCAATAATAATATACCAAAGGCAATAATTGGACGTTTTAGGTACTCTTGTTATAGGTTGCTGTTGTACTCTTCTATATGAATATGGAGAATTCGTAGAAGTATTGGAAGATCGACTTGTATTTGTACTTCGATAACTTCGGTTTTGCAAATGTGTTCTATCAGGAGAATTATATGACTTAGAAAGAGGAGAATCTAATGTAACACTGTGAAATGAATCATTTAATAATTTAATCTCATTGTTGTCACTATAATCATTGTCATTATCATCATCATCATCATCATCAGTCACATCATTCTCAGCACCATCAAAGTATTCTTTACTTTGCTGATTAACTCTATGCATACTATCTCTCATCAATAAACTGTCATAATTTTGAAAATTATAATCTTTCCCTTTGGATATATTAAATCTACTCAACGGTGAACGTGCTTTAGGGGTAGGTGGTTTAAAAATCTCGTCTTGGCTGTTAGTCTGTAAAGAGTATACTAATCAAAGTTCGTTATGTTATGCGTACAAGCATCCGCTTATATCACTTAAATAATAAATATACATACATCAAAGTCGTTCATATTTATATTAGCACCAAATCAAATACTTCCAAAACAATATTTTGAGAGGATCTTATGACACTGTTAATTTTTATAGTAAACATCTGTACGATACTACTTTGTAGGAGAACCACTTGTTGAAGGTTATTCGAACTCTATTGTTAATGTTTAAGATTATTCAACGGTTATTTACTACATTATGTTAGATACGGATAACCTATAAAATCAATCTCACTGCAGATTAACATAATTGAAATAAATATAATGAAATGTTATTAAATAGTATCACGTATCACTACATAAATATTCTACGAACTACTACGAACTGTACGAACGAGCACGAGTTTGTTAATTTATAATATTGGAACCTATGATCGAAACGTCTTCATCAAGTAAAATAAAAAGCCGAAACAACTGATCAGTAAAGATATTTCAAGTCCTATCTACTCACTTTCAACATCAAACCATGAGATTGAATTACTTGTAGATTATTAGATTTTATTTCAGAGGCTTACAGGAAGCATAGAGCGTATCTTTGACTTAGATATATAGCCAAATGAGCGTATATTTTTTTGTATATGTTCGTCTTATCCCTAACTGTTAATAACATTGTAACGTTATTTAATTTTGAATCGATAACACTGTATTTGGCAACGAAATAGAGGTAAAGAATTTAAAGTATTTAAATGCTAGATGGCTAGATCTATTTTATTCTATTTGATTTATAAAGTTATAAACTCGATCCTTCGAAGATTTAACTCAATTTTTATTTAAAAAGATTCATCTAACAACGAATAGATCGAATTAAAATTTTGAATTTAGTTCTTGGTTTTATCGCTAGATGACTGCACCATTCACTTTTCTTTAAAAATACGTTCATAAAATAACGATGACTCAAAGAAAATTCCAAATACATACGAAAAGATGACCCAAAACATACTATCTTATTTTCAATTTTACTCAAACTTGAATACGTTATAGTTTTTAGCGATTCATATCTCCAGGGATTTAAAAAAAACATTGTATACTGTAATAATTTTAATACTGGCCCAAGACGAAATCAAAACCTCATGGTACACGTTTCAATTTTTTTTCGAGTTTTTGATAAACGTACAGACTACAAAATTATTCTTTGTAATGCGTTTTTATTCGAGTTCAACGAAAAAAATGTCGATTTTGAAGTATACCCGACATTGGTACCAACGTTGAGGTATATAAATTGCAACGGAATGTGTTGCCGAGAGAAATACACTTCTACAGATTTAATAAACGACCACGAAAATTGTTCGTTCGTAAAAGACGTATCGAACACCTCTTTTCCAGAATTCAACGGGTATTTTATGGTAGTTTCATGGTGACGGCATGTGCGTCGATCCGTTTAACAAAATATGTCATTGGGGTCCGCTTACTGCTCTTGGTAGGTGAATCTGCGATATCATTTTGTTAATGTTCATTATCCAATTTCAAACAAACAAATCGTTCTACTAATTTCAAGACTTAGAAGTAATAATATTTGCAGTAAGATATACACGGTTTGGTTATGTTGCATCGCTATGCGAAGGAGATATTGAACGTAAAAGTATCGTAGGTTGTGCTTGACAGATAACTGCTTCCATTTTGTTTTGTATATATTACGATAGAATTCCGCGAAATTTAAACAATGCTTCAAAGTTTTTCGTGTAACTTCGAAATTATTTGATTGTAATCGTAGGTATTTAATACACGTACCATGTAAATAAGTACACGTATTATTTAAATTGTTTTACGTATATCGAATTTACTTTTATTAATATTATGCACTTCATAATATTTTTTTAGGAATTATAAAACTAATCACTTTGATGACAATACATTGTAGTAGACAATGGTGGGCACCGCAAGAGAGTTTGTTTGGAGCAATTAATTTTATGCTTTTCTTTTGTCTCAGTGGATCTACTCTCTTCCATTTCATCAGCTCTATTTATGAAGGGCCAGGGTTCCTTCCGTTAAAATGGATGCCGGTATTAATGATACACATTTAAGAGTAATGACTCTAAAGAATGACTTCCAAAGATGAAAGATTTCTATGCAAAATATCTTGTTTCAGGAAAAGGCAACAGACACACAATTTTTACAGTATTGTTCTGTGTGCAAGGGCTATAAAGCACCAAGATCTCATCATTGCAGAAAGTGTGAGATTTTGTATAATTAGTTAATATTGATATTCTGTACAATTTATCGAGTTATTCTCTGAATTTTAGGTGGTCGTTGTGTGCTGAAGATGGACCATCACTGTCCATGGATAAATAATTGCGTAGGTCATTTCAATCATGGACATTTTACAGCATTTCTGGCAAGTGCAGTGGGTGGATGCTGTGTTTCTACTTTTACTCTAGTTTCTTGGGTTATGACTGTATTGTCTTTGAAACCATTATCATTTCCACCACCTTCTGTATTCATACTAATATTAGTAATCTTTAGTATTGGTTTGTCAATTGGCGTTGTTATTGCAGTTGGGATATTGTTTTATTTTCAGGTAAAGATATACTATTTCTACAGAATTAATACAGTTGTATAACCGTTTATGTATTTCTTGCAGCTGTTAGCTATAATCAAAAATCGAACAGAAATCGAAGCTTGGATTTTAGAAAAGGCTCACTACCGAAGGTATGGAACTAAGGACAAATTCATTTATCCATACTCGAAAGGTTGGCGCTTTAATGTAAAGCAAGTTCTTACGTGGGACTGTACCCCCGTGGGAGACGGAATTAATTGGCCCGTGATCGAAGGCTGCGATCAATACACGTTGACCGTACGTGTTTACCGATCGATTTATAAACGTATGCTTTTCTTTGTAACAGTTAAAGTACGGTGATTTCGACAATATTTTAGCGAGAGCAATTAGCTCAAAAGAAAGATAAACGGAAGAGGGCTAAAACCTACAGAGTCGTGGAAGAAATATCTGGATCATGGTTGCCATTGAGACATGGTTGGGGTGTGTTTTGTCATCCACCTTGTACGGATGAACCTCGTATTAAACTCAAATTGGGAGAAATTGTAATCGTAACACGATGGCGGAAGTAAGTTTACAAATTTCTTTTTTATATCATTGGAAACCGAAATGCTATAATTTAATTGGATTATTTCTCATTTACCAGATATTGGTTATTTGGAGAAAAAAAAGAAGATGACGAAAACGACAAGCAAGTACGAAAACGAGGCTGGTTTCCAAGGCCTTGCGCGATCGAAGTAATCGAAAATGAAGCTTACACTTCTGCTTTAACGAAATCGGATTGAAACATTCCTTTCCCCAATGTAGAATTTTAACGTATTTATAGATAAGTCGTTGAACGAACGATGATATTTTTGTCTAGTGTTTTATATGTAAGTATCAATGATGGATGAGTGTCTTTATATGTTTCAATGGTCTAATGTTAAATAAGTCCTACTTTCGAAAAAATGTTTGGATACTAGAAGTGTCTATTAGTATATTTATTCTAACAAAAAAGATTAGCACAAAACGAGACTATACAAGTTCCCCTTCTTTTATATAATTTGCTATACGCTAACGTAAGTAATTTGAATGTGTGTAACGAGTAAACATCAATTTTGATGTATCAGATTTGTGTCAGGAGAATCGCGTTCTGTATACAATGACGTGTACATACTTTTAATGCAATTTCGATCGTTGTAAATAGAGCTTTTGGTAACCATTTACTAAACGGTACGGTATTTCAACACTCGTATAAGAACAAAATCAAACGACATGAATTTGTATAATTATATTTTATTTTCAATTATAACGAATAATCTATTGGCTCGGTAAACTATTATAACGATATTCGCTACTTATGTTTTTATCAACGGTTTGTAATTGACAAATAAATGACATGGTGAAATGCAATATTCCTATGCTATGCTTCATATTGCGTTGCTTTCGAAGCTCATGAAAAATCAATAATACTCTTCTCTGCGGTACTCCAATTATGTTCGAATTATAATTTAGAAAATTGGCGAAGTGAAGTCTCGAGGAAAAGAAACCGTGGAAACTCAGCAGAATTGACATAAATTGAAGCACGGCACACAGTCGGTTATAACATCGACCGAAGGGACATTGGATCGTGGTGAAAGTGACAATTAACAAAAGTGAATTGGACTTGCCGGTTATGAACCCATGGTGGGATCTACCGCGTCTGACTTGTTTTCAGGAGATCGGCCTGTGCAGTTTCTTTCGGACTGTTCTGCCTCGTGGACGATAGCTTCGAATTCAGTCCTCCTGCTATCGAGTTTCATTTAATTATAGTAAGTGCTTTTCGCGAAGCGTCAAAGAAACGGGATCGAATCATTTAATTATCGGGGACCAGAGACGAGACTACACTTTCAATATTTTCTCAAAGAATTTAATTTTTCCGAAATTAATCTCGACGAACGAGTCGAAGGACGTCTAACGTTTAATTGTTTCGACTTTGAACGAATCAGGTTTTCCTTTCAGACAACATTCACTTCGCGAGGGAATTATCAATTATTTGATTTTATGGAGGAAATACAGAAGAATTAATCTTACTTCATCCTCAGTTTTTATTTAAAATTTTATCATGATTGGTGTTACTCGTTCGAAATTTTGATTCTATAAGGAGATTTCCAAAAGTGCAAAGGAGTCTAAGCGGTATGCTTCACTTCATGAAATTCAAACAACGGAAGTACGTCTAACATGAATTTTTCTTGCAGCTATTTCTAACTGAAAGGTATCGATAATTTTATTTAGGCTTACTTAAAAAATCGATAGACTATTTTTTACACTACTGTATATCACCAAATGGACCGGAAAATTTGCATAATATAGTTCGCGAAGATTCGTGTAACGACCAAATAAATTCGAACTAATTGACGACGTCTCCTAATTTAAGCCTCGAAATTAATTCCTACTATCACGCAAAAGGTCACGTAGGTAGGAGGTCGCTCGGGATGAGCCTGACTATGAGAAACATAGCGATTAGCATCCTCGTGGTGGCTTCTTCGGCATTTTTCGCGTATAGTTTCCCCGATGGAGCACCGGTGGACACTTGCGTGAAACCAGGTCGTGCTAACGAGCCGAATCACGGTCAAGCAAGGTCACAGCCCCCAGAAAAGAGCCCCTATAAGTTCACGGCTTCGTCGTCTCACTATGGTCCTGGATCCCAGATAACTGGTACGTTCAACTACTTAAATCGCGCAATTAACACCTGGACATTTAACGGAATACTTTATTACGTAACAAAGACGCCCAAGTATTAACGACCTTTACTTTATCTCAACCTTTGGAAAACTTTTGGTAGCGAAAGGCCACGTATATCAAACCGTGGAAAATTAATTTTAATTCTAAACTAACAAATACGTAAGTCGTTAAGTGTTATAAAAATTTGTGGAATACTTCTCGCGACAATACGAATCGAAAGATCTTTTACATTTTGCAAGTCGACGCTTCGTTGTTCAGATATGAAAAGTTACACGTGGATGTACGGGAACACCTGACTGGGACCAAAATGGCGCGTGTCGAGAGTCATGTCAGTTCGAACTGCTTACATCTAGGTAACGAAGCGTCGGTTTGTAAAACGGTGCAAGATTTTTCAATTACTTTTTACACATGGAATATATTAGATACCTTCTTAAGTTTATCTTCGATTAAAATAAGCGGTAAAAAAGGATACGTTGAACGCTCCGATATGCTTCTATATATTCGTCTTTTATTCTATTTTTGTTATTTTGTATCGAAATAAACGAATTCGATTCAACGACTCGCTAAATTTTCTTATTCGCGCGGTTTCCAAGGAAGCGTTTCCAAGGAAGCGTTTTTCCGTATAAATCGGCGATAAGCGTACACGAGAGGAAGTTTGCGTAACCGAGCCAAGCTCGAACTAACGCGATAGCATGCTTCGATAAATAACGGAGAATTTCGGGCACGTAACTGCGCGAACACCGTGCTCATCGGTGCCCGGGGAGGGATCGGGGACGAGATCTACGCAGAGAAACGAATTCTTTTTCGTCGGTGGTTCTGGGTTGGCGCTATTATTCCGACGATTGAACATGCAGAACCGGCCTGCGAACCGCAGAATGCGCCGATTGTTAACGTTTAGACGCGGTTCCGTGTTCCACGGTTATCCGCGTTGATTGGATCGATTGTTCCACCGTTGGCCTCGGACGTGTCCCGTCTTTTTCGGATTCATCATGCTACCGTCACACCGCTAATTTCGGAACAAAGTATGGAGGATAATTCCCCGGCCACGGAACACTCGTTCGCTCTACCCGAGTATTGGTTGGCGAAAGAATGTTTTTAATTGCGAGTACGTCGGACTTGGGTCATTTCTGACCCATCTGATACGTCACGGTATATCGTAGTTACGTTTCCAATATCGCGTTGCAACACAATAGTGTTGCGTTGTATTGAAAACATTTTGAATGACACGCTAGCGGTATCGAGCGAGTTTTATTTATAAGGGTGCGAAGTCGCGTAACTTGACTATAACACCTGGTATACCAGTTTTATAGTTGTTCGTTCATTACATTCGTTCGAGCCTTGCTTTACGTTACTTGCATTTGCTTATACAGTGGGTGTAGAAAGTATTCGTACATCGATCAATTTCCAAAAAAAAAAAAAAAACTACGTAAAATCGTAATTTATTAACTTATTTGTTATAAATGATGACATTCTACATATTCTCGGAAATCTCTAGAATAGAATTACATTAACTGGTAAATGTTGTTTGGACTATATCTATCTTAGAGACTTCCGACGATATGTAAAATATCGTTGATTATAAAAAATGAAGTTAAGAAACTACAATTTCACACAAAAGTATTTTTGGGAAATTGATCGGTGTACGAATACATTCTATACCCATTGTATGTATATCTAAAGTCCTCTTTATAATTGATGTATCTCCTAATGGAGATGCCAGTGGCCTGTTTGGGACCACACTGGCCCCTCCCGTAGCTCGGGTACCTCGGGATCGCTAAACCCGTACTGTAGCTACAATAAAACATAGCTACAGCCCCTGAGGGCCTCCTTAACTCTTCCACGAACGTTAGAAATTGTTGCGATATTCTTTTAGAAGGATAACTTTAACGCGAGAATTACTTTTTTACCGCGAAGAAAAGGATTCTTGAGACCTCCAAAGAATACTCTTTTCTCGAGGAGAAGAATTTTTAAGGCTCCCAAAAAAATATTCTCGTACTTGAAAAAAAAAAGAAGAAGAATTCTTAAGGCCTGTAAGTTTTAATTTATAGAAAGCCACGTTACGTTTCTTTCTATAAATATCTATCTACGTTATCGATATTATTATATACGCTATCTTCTATATGAAAAGTCTCTGACGCGTTAATAAATTAAATAGATATTTCGTAAATTAAATGTGTATTACGGGAAAACGCCGTATCACCGGAGAAAGAAAATGGATCGAAGTACGCTCACCTGCTTGTTCTTTGTAGGTCGACGCCTTTGTACGCTGACTCTAATGCCGCGGATCGATCGAAAATTACGATGCAAAGAAAGAAAACGCGCAAACACTTTGTAACACTGATTCTAATTTTCCACGAAAATTTCGATACGTTACATTTCTAGAATATTTTATACGCGGTCGAAACTAGAGTTATTTTATCGAGCGATTGTTGCCGGAAACGAACATTGAATTTCCAGGAAATTAGCAATTACCGATGGGTGTTCTCTGGACAGATTATTAATAAGGAAATCTTTTCGTACGCTTTGCGATAGCGTGACAAAAGATTCAAGAAAGAAACGTCGGATGATTTATAAAGAAAACTTTGTATCGAATCTGAAGGAAATTGTTCCAAGAAAAATCTATTTAAAAATCCGTAGCCACTGCGTCGCGGGACTTCCCTTGTTACAAGTACAAAAGCGCGCAATTAGAAGTGGCCGTGACATCGCGAGGTTGAAGGGCCTTGACCGCCACGCGAGGAACTCGGACCGATTGTATTTGGTAAAGAATAAACGAAGACTTTCTATAAATTAATAGAGATGATAAACGATTCGGAGCGACGTGTTACGCGACAGGAATTAAAATTTCGTTTGCTAATTTCAGCAGAAACGTTGATCGATTAAATGATTAAAAGACGGAATTATAACGACGACTACAAGTTATATATATATATATATATATATATATAAATTCCTCTCCCTGTGTAATCTTCGTTTAAGTATCCCCAAACATAATACCATAGTTCTGCAACAACGAAAACACTTTTAAAATTAGAATACTAAATACAGAAAGTAGATTTTTAAAATTAGAATATATATATTTACATTTATATATATACACATATATGTATATACAGTAAACAAATAGATTTTGTATTACATAATATATAAAATATTATTTTATTATTGTCCCAGGGTCACCTACTTTGTCCGTACAACTCTTGAATTACGAGAGATATTTTAGCGTGTTTCAAGAGACATTTACTGTTTCCAAGAAATTAACAGTAAAATGTAATCCGTTCCCTGAAGTTATTGTTCGATAAATTTTCATTAAACGGGGAACTCTCGTGTTCTCGAAAGTTGCGAAGAAGGTCAAGGTGAACAGGAAATTTTATTGCGTTTAAATAAGTTAAAGTTAGACTCAACGGCCGAGTACAATAGAGCATAACTTTTACACATTAATTAAAAATAATCGTTCCCTCTGACAATTTTTTAATCCCATAAAACCGCTGGAAATGAACTTCTACAGCAAAGTTAAATCGTCGATGGGACGAGTTATCCGAAAGCATAGGGGACATTATTCAAAAGCTGCGACTTTACGAAGAAACTTTACTTATGACAAGAAACTTGTTGTTGTTCGTATTAGTTTCAGCTTCCCTTTATGCAGCGACCAATTTCCTCTAGCCTCTATCCTCTTCCGGTATTCGATATTCCTCTCCCTGTGTAATCTTCGTTTAAGTATTCCCAAACATAATTCCATAGTTCTGCAACAACGAAAACACTTTTAAAATTAGAATACTAAATAGAGTAGAAAGTAGAGTATTTAATATTTCACAACGTATCAAGTACGGGGTAGATATTTTTAATTCCACTTAACAATCTCTGCGCCTGTTCGTCGACCAAAGAAGCGAAGAGAAATCAATATAGAGTATTGAAGATACAACGATGATCTTGAAAATGAATTAAATATATAAAGCACAATATTTAACGTTCCATAAAGTATCACATATGGCGAATGGTTTAATTAAACATACGTGTTTCTGTGGGCTGTTCAAAATGGGAAAGAGAGAGTTTTTCCCGGTTAACGAAGCCGACATTGTTTTTCTTTGTTTTCAGTGACAATCAGCGGCTCGAGGTTCAAGGGATTCTTCCTTCAGGCACGTGATCCCGATACGGATAGTTGGATCGGTTCCTGGGCCCAAACGGAGAACACGACTACCCATCCTGAATGCAGTGCGGTGACGCACGCTGATCCAAATTCGAAACTGTTCGCGACACTTATTTGGAATGCACCACCGAACTCACGCGGCCGCGTCTATTTTACGTGAGTGCAATTTCTTTCCTCTGGCTAAGATGAAGATCCTCGAGATTTGAATCGTTCCGTGCATTCTTCACTTTTACGATCGTATTTTATATAATTAATCGCTTACGTGGGAAACAATGACTGAATTTATTTTCACCGATCCAGTGTTTTATCTGTACTATATCTACATCTATACTTCTACACTAATATTATAAAGAGGTAAGGTTTGTTTGTTCGTATGTAGGAGATAATCTCCGGATTTGTTCAGTAATTTCAGAGAATTATTTTCCTCTTTGTCGTAAAGTGTTGAAAAAAGTAAATTAAAAATGAATAATAAATTGTGCCCTTCAGGCTTCCCAGAATATAAGGCGTGTTTAAAGTCGCAACACTTCGGTGTAAAATAAATTTTAATAATGAACCGAATTTCTATGATTTTTAAAAATATTATGCTATAAATAGATAATTGATAGTTCGCGATATTCTCTTCTGAACGTGCATTTAAATGTAATACTTGGAATGCAGGAATTTTTTTGATCTGAGCTTGTAGTGCGCGTTTCCTTATCCCCTTAAAAATAGGGAAATCATGGTAACGATTCGCACGTGTCGCGTATCAAGTAATTACGCAGCCCTGTAAGCCGAAAGGCCAGATCAATGACACATTGTGCAACATCGTGCAGGAAATGGTTCCGCGAATTCATATGCAATAACGCGCAATCATTAGGGCTTAATCACGAGCATGCACCTGCCCTCTTACAAAATACGACAAACCTGCATCGCACCCACAGACGAATTGAAAAGGGATAATTAAAGACAAGCTCGAGCCGGAGCAGCAATTACCAACCGCACCTTCTAAGTAATGACATTTTGCACCACGCGTGGATACCGTAGATAAAGTTTGTCTTTGCTGTGCTCAAATTGAAACCAACAGGCCACTAAAAGTCTCTGTCGCCGCAAAACCGTGTTTGACCGTGCGTTTCATCATGAAACTTTCATGGCGTGTTATTGGGCGAAGTGAAATTTCCCTCGGTCTTCCCTTGTTCTTCTTTGAGTTAGCCAACCCTCGGCAGACTTTGTACCGAGTTTGACTCTTGCAGAAAATACTTCTATTTATTTTCTTCTTTTCGTGTTTTCTTCTCCATATATTGTACAACTAGCATTCCTCTTCTGTCGCAGACGATCCACTCAATTTGATCCTAACAAACATTCTTTTGATATTTATTTTACTAGGATTAAATTGGCTGGGTTAGAAGTATCCGTGACAGAAGAGTAACGCTAGTTGTACAAATATGGAAGAGTAGAAAATAAACAAATAGCGTTTCACCAGATGTCTAATTAAGGATAAGGCTCTTTTTTTTTCAGACGAGATTTATCCGAAGAAAAGCCCACATTTTAATCCAAATTTCATTTAAAAACCTAAAAGGCACTCGTCCAGGTCGTGTCCTCCCCTTGTCTTCTTGGGATAAGGCTCTTTTTTTTTCAGACGAGATTTATCCGAAAAAAAGCCCACATTTTAATCCAAATTTCATTTAAAAACCTAAAAGGCACTCGTCCAGGTCGTGTCCTCCCCTTGTCTTCTTGGGAATGCCTATAGAGAGTGTCTAGCTTGCCGCCATTGTGTCTTATCTCAATTACCACTCTTTCTCTATATCAGGTTAAGTGTGCGCACACCCTCGAGATAGTATAGTCGGAGCAAAATCAACTGGCCACTCAAGACCACTGTAGGGTTCTAGCCACCAGTTTGGTTACCTTGCAAACTCAGTTCGTCGCCAGCCTACAGAATAAGCGCAGGTGCTCTATGCCTAAATGCCCAAGCTGATAGTACTCGATAGGAATGTCCTGGTCGAAGTTACGTATGAAAGTACAAGTGTCGAATTTGAAATTGTTAAAACGAATGACCATTACGATTGAAGCTATTTCTGAAAGAGGCGATATTAAAGTTGACGTTATTTATGGAATCGGACATTCCAAAGTTAAAATTCATGTATGGAAACTACGAGTGCTAGAGTCAAGATTATATTTCGAAAGAAAACACAAACTTCGTCTCGGCTCATTTCGTTACGCAACTAATTTCTCTCGTTTCACTTCCTCAACGATTGAGTTCGATACAAATTTGTCCACATCGCGTAGCGGATTTTAGGAAACCCTTGCATGTTTTCAGATAGCAGCAAATTGCCGAATAGAAATGTCCCAACCACAGTGGCCAGCGATCGAGTGTCTGAAATAATAGTTCGTCATCCATAATTCATTCGGAAAATTGTGCCCCATCGCGTTCTTTTCCTTTCCTCGCATGTCCACGATTGTTGTACCCGTCGAGGCCTCACCCCGTGTGCTCCTGCGTGCTCGATAAGAACGAAGGATTTCCACTTCGATACGAGGAAAACGCAATGAGACTAATTGCAGAGCGTTGGTCAGTGGGAAATAATTGGCGCCGCCGCGCGATCGCACGCGAATGAACGCGTACACGGGCGGCTTGCTGACAAGCCAGCGAATTTCCAGAGAACATTATAGGTCAGAAAGTTCGCATGCCGAGTTGAAAGGTACCGGGCGAGTTGCTCCTGCAGCGGGCTCTCGATCCTAAACTCGAAATACCGGCGTTGAATCACGATGGATGCGGTGGAACTTTTTCAACCATCTGGCGAAACGTCGCTCGAAACGTGCCTCTGAATTTCTTTTTTGTCCCGTATCTGTGTCGCGTGTTTCGCAATACCTCTGAAAATTGCTCGCCAGACCTCTGACGACAACGATGCAAATTGTTTACTAGAAAATAAAAACAAAGAAAGATAAACACGGTTAGAGACCGCGGAGGCACCATCCAGTTCCATGGTTTACTCGTTTCGTTAAAAATTCGGATGTTCGGCTGAATCCTGAATAATCGATCGTTTGAGAAGTAATATGGTGCGTTTATTTCACGAAATAATCGAATGTAGGTATAAATAAACCTAAAAGAACTGAAGAAAATCGAGTAAAAATGAACGAAATTTAATAAATCACTGGGCGCAAGCTCGAGTTCGAAAATCGTTTGGAAATGAATCTTTTCGAAACAAAACAAATTAACACGCCTATAGCAGTGCTTTCATTGAACGATATCCACGGGATTGGTTTTTCGTTACCACCGAACAATTCAGTTTGAAATTGAACGTATCGAGCGTTTCAATTAATTCGATAATAAAATATTATTGGGCACCACGTACAATTTGTTTATTTTACTAATATCGTGGGAGGAACTAGGATTTAGAAAACGTTGCTTGCACGACACATCCGTCCCACGCGTCCCGATCAATTCTAATGATTTACAATTATCATTGAGGCCTGTCACGCGCAGAGATCCTCGAAGTTTTGTCCTTGGGCATTCGTTATTTAATATCTGTGTTAGCGACCCCATTTACGTTTGTAATCACCGCTCGGCGCATACGTGTGCCGATGACATGCAAGTTCTATGCACATCAAAGCCATACCGAATCAATAGTGCTATACAAAAAGTAGAATCGGATCTTTACGGAATACAATGGCCGTCCACGTATCAAGATCCAAGCTTAAACTCAAAGAGATACGTCCGATGCTGTTGGTTCTACTTCGTTGTCAGAGGAACCTCATCCTATTTATATTTTTATTCGCGTTTTTCCCTTATTCGTCTTATTAACCTTTCCGATACCAAGTTGTGGGAGTACTTCATTTTTCATTAAATTCGTCGTATTTTATAAAAGGTTTAACTGGCTTATATTTATCTTCTTGAGATTCCTTCGATCCTATTTAACAATACATCAACTGTTTCGGTGAATTAATTTTTCTAGTAAGAAGTTCTCGAAAATCCAACGAATAGTTAACGAAAATTTCTCGACGCTAATACCAATCGTTAAAGAAAAGAAGAATAATTCCTCCGACCGTTTCTTTCGTTACAGTGGCACCATCCTGAAGGAGTACGCGACTTACTGGTCGGGATTAGTGGCCGATGTTCATCAGCGATAGTTTCGTAAGCATCGCAGCGATATTTGCTAGCGAACGGAACTTTGGAGTAACGTTAACAACCGCACCTTCGCGTTTAAGATTTTAATTCCAAGGACATTGCGATTCCACGCAACGAAGCCGTGACGGGAACAGTGAAAGGTACCGACGAAGCGTAAACATGCTGTACATTCCATTCAATCGTTCATTCTTTTATAACGCTGTACGATTTTAAATACATAAAACGTGATCAATGAATCGAATACTTCTTTTTCCTCTCTTGCACTCTTATACTTGTCAAGGATACTAGCCGCGCGTCAAAGACCGCTACGGTACAAGCACCAAAAGAATGGATCGATTTGCACAATACGTCTCTTTCGTTTTTAATATCGATTCTCTGTCGTTACAAGACGTTTACCAAGCAACTACTTTCTACTCTCATTTCTCGCAACGTGGATGTCGAGTCATTAAGAAAAGGTTCCCGACCTGTCGGACATAGTTACGTAATCCTTGGACTGATAGGCTGTATATCGCGATCTGTCCAGTGCCCGGGGTAATTCGTTTTGCCTCTTAAGCCATCCTCCGAGCGCGCGATCTCGTAATGTTCGATCGATGGAGGTGAGTAGACAGACGTCTACGGAATCGATTTCGTTCAACAAGTTTTTGTACTGGCACGTTCACGACAAAAATATGCAACGACGAATGCCGATACGATTGATCGTCTACCAGGACCTTAAACGTTCCTCGGGGAACATTTCAGCTGAAAAACAAGGACATCTTTGGCGGGGATCAGTTGCCAAGAGAGAGAGAGAGAGAGAAACCTCCGACTTCTCGCATCAGATGCAAATCGAATCGAAGTTTCTTCGAGAATGTTTCAACGCTTTATTTTCTAGTCTGTCTAGAAACAGCTTGTAACTCAGAAAAGGATTGTTCGCGTTAGCATATATTAATGGAGGATTCGTAATTAATGATATAAAATCGAAAAGGGTATAGAAGAAAGCTGACGATACACGTACGTACACCATACGGCACGACTGTTCTGACTACTTCCAAAAAGTAGCGATGGGTAAAACTCTATGCTTCGAATAAATCCGAAGTTCGCTGACGTGTTCGTCTCGTTTCCTTCCTGGAAAATGTTCAAAAGAGGAAACGAGACGAGCATATCGCCAAGAAAAACGTTGAACGCATCGACTACTCGACCGATGCGTTCACCGATCGAAACGTAACTTTCCTTCATTAATTTAGACTAATATTGCTGTACGTAGTACACGTAACCTCTACGTGCTGTACGCTTGGTACAATAAAACTTCAACTTTCCTCAACCTGAGCATTGCGAGTAGATAAATACAGTCGGTCGGTTCTTGCAAATAGACGCTAGAATAGAAAGGCTGGTACATAAATTGTTAACAGGTTCACTGTCATCCATGTATGACAAAGGTTTTCGAATGTTTAGAACGAATTCTGAACCATTCAGAATTCAACTCGCCAGAAGTTATTCTGATTGAATATTTCAGAATCTTCCAGAATATTGTTTTGTTTAATAGGAGAAAGGATATTCTCTCTGGTGAGAACAAGCCGAGTAGAACTTGGTGGTAGAAGCTTCCAATAGCGAAAGATGAGATTAATTCAGGGTTTTCCTTCGAGTTATACAGTTATCCTTGTTCGAGCCCTGGATCTACTCGCGCAAGATTCACGTGGCGAACGACGCATTAAGAATGAACAGAATCTTGGAAACGGAAACTTTGTTCCACCGCGGGATACTTTTCTCGAATATCCAGCGTAAACGACGAGGGCAAATCGCGAAAGTGTCGCGCAGCTGACGAGGAAGGCACACAATTGCAACGAGTTTAATATGTAGAAACAGAACTCGTTCCGGTCGGTGTTCGAGAAACGTGAGCTTATACGGACAAGGTGGTTGTCGCACGTTCTAAAAGAAGAATAATCTCCGAGATCTCGTAATTCTAGCGATAGATGGTTCAGATGATTGATTATATTCGCGTAGTTGATCATCGTCGTATGCTTCTTTCAAACAGATAGGATGTTGCACAGACACTTGGAGTCGCGAAGTGGTTACTATTAGTTACGTGGTCGTTCTTAAATGTCAGCTGTTCATCCAGGTGAACGCTTCTGCAAGTACTCGTACCACCTTCTTCGCGTTGTTCATTGTACACCGAGTGCTTCTCTCGATCTACTAGGTGCCTGACGTAGACGAAGCGTTTCCACGCTTCTACAGATGAAGATAATGCGTTCGACCAGCCGGAAGTGACTTTCTTCACGTATGCACGTTTAGGGTCGTTCTAACTGTACCTAGGTAGTCATTAGCGACATTAGCGCAATCGAATAATTTAGGCGAAGGAAAATGATATAAATCAAATACCGACGAATTCTGTAACTATTGTTGAAGGTTTAGATTTTGGTCTTAGATTTGGTTCCAAGTAACGCTGATTTCAGGATTCAGAGTACTTGCTATATCGATATAGCATAGGCATACAGGTGCAACGTGTTTAATGCGTCGGAAGAGAAGTCGTTCTGTCCCGGCCGTTCTTTAAGGAGCATAATCGTTGGTCCCATGCTGAGACACGTGAACTGACACGAACAAGGCGGTTGCCACACTCTCCCAAAGGGGGTTCCCGCAGTTTCTTCATCGGATGCCGTTAATGGAACTCGGCACGCTTTTACGCGAAGCAAAAGGATCTCGCGAAACGTGTGTTACGTAAGCTCGCCGCCTTGTAAAAGTGGATCGTTCTCATAAGGGAGGCTTTAGAACGTTGAAAGCGATATCGTTGACGCATTACGATCCGTCGTGGAGGAACTGCTATTCAAAAAAAAAAAAAAAAAAAAGAGATCAAAATCCTGAAACTTTTTCTTGGAAAGAACGTTCCAAGAATGTTCAAAGAATCTTCTTTAAAATTCAGGACACGTAGTCCGAACCAGTGTCGAACGATTACGATTGCAATGAAATGTTTTCGAGTTGTAATTACGATTACGATTACGATCGTAATTACAAACTTTTCTGTGATTACGATCGTATTTTTACTTTTCAGTCGTAGAAATTCTTTACCCTCAAAATTGACTTCGAATTCGTGTCTCTCGCCCCAACAAAAACTTAGAAACCCGAGCTTTCGTAAAAATCCTAAATTTTTTTAAAATTACCCTATTACTACCCTATTGGTACGAATTATTTTAACTGGATATTTTTAGAATGTTTGAAAAAGATTTTGAGATCAAAGATTTCCACGACTGAAGATCCTTAAAAGTACGATCGTAATCGCAACTCGGAAATATTTCATTGCAATTACAAACCTAACGAGTGCCATACTGTTTAACCGTCTGAACTCTACCGGCGCCGCCACGACGACGCAAAGTGTCCCGTAAATCGATCTAAAATTTTATTTGTAGCGTCACCAATCAAATTAACGAGATAAAGAAATAAACTCTGAATTGGAATTGGTTTATACATTTCTGTTAAAAAAGAACATTCTTGTTCGAATGAAATAGCTGCAGAAAATTGACCCGCAGATACCACGTTTACGGCGACGATGGCTGGTCGCCGTAAGCTCGCGATAAAAGGAACTCTGAAGCGTCCAGGGTTAAGAATCAGCTAGGATGACAGGTTTCTGACGTTGAGCCGAGTCCGGGGATCCTACCTAATTTGTTGAGTTATACTTGGCCGCGTGATGCCGTTCCTTGGGGGACGGTAACGTCGATCTCCACGATACGAGGGTCATCGCACGCCTCTGGAGACGTCGCAACCGAGTCCCAAGCCTCTGTGGTTCGCGGTGCTAGGTCCAGGGTAAAGCTGATGCTATTGGGTCGGCAAGTTAGGTGGCGGACGAAATTCGCTTGCAGGACACGTACCACGATTGCGGTGTTGCGCGGCGAAACGACAGGTAATTAAACCGAAACAAGCTTCGACGCTATCACGGCTCGATGCCTGATACGGAAGCACAATAAACTGATGTTTCCGTTTCTTTCTGTACGGATTTAAAGTAGAATCGACAGTTGGAGTCGTTAGCTACAGTATCGATTACACGGTTCTTTTTAACATATTCTTCAGGTATATCTCCGAGTGGTTGTATCATCTTCGCGTTGTCTATCGTGCGATGAATGCTCTTTTAAATTGCTATAGTGTTCTATCGACATACGGAGTCTATCGGTTACTCTTACGTAGTTGTTCTTAAATATCATCTCAGGTACGTGCGTACTCAAAAAATTGCATCATCTTGTTCGTGTTGTCTTATGTATGTTGAATGCTTCCTTCGAACTGCCGAGAGGGTTGCATCGACAGCTAGAATCGTTGGTCGATGTACTAGTTACATACTGCGCGTAAATATCCGTCCAGGTGTGTTTATCTTCGAATTGTACCATCTTCCTGTATACCTTCAAGTAGTTATACCATCGTGCTCTTGTCCGAACGTCCCTTGTATACCGAATGCTTCTTTTAATGTAATCGATTCTGATTGCTATATCGATACGTTATTTATACTCGGTACAAATTGGTACACGCGTAATTATTCATGAATATTCACTGATTTAACCGTATTGCTTTTCGACAATAAAAAAATCGCAATCGAGGTCAGCGGAGAGATAAACTTTTATAGACAAAGCTGTTACACATCGCGCATCACCAGCTTGACGCGTTTGATTGGCTTATCGCTGCATCCTTTTTCCATATCGTACAATGATTGATTGATAGGTTGATAGATCGAAGGACCAGATGAATACTGGCAGATACTTGGAAAAAGAAGAAAAAAAAGATACAGACACTTCCAACGTTGCCTTTTTGCACAATACGTCCTTAACCTTATCAAACATAAAATTCCACTGCAAGAAGGTTAAAGAAGGAAGTTAAATACTGGCAAATATTAAAAAAAAAAAAGAATAAAAATAATTTCAGACCCTACCAATAACGCCTTTTCGCGTATCACAACATCAACCCTCTAAAACATTCGATTCCAATGGAATTTGTTTCCGAAGAATCTCCACGATTTTACAGCGTTCAAGATGCTATAACCCTCGATCAATCCCGCTTTCAAGTGACAAAATCAAGACGGTCGATTCGCTCGAGAGCGGTATATAGGTAGCGAATTTTCCGCCAACGTTTTCTTCCTGCGCCACCCTCTCCCCACTTCTTGCACAATGCACGGCCATAAAAATTCATCCCACCGCCGGGACCTGCGTTCCCCTAGTTCATGGATCCATATTTACAAGAGCCATGTATCTCGCCGGCGTATCTCGGCTAGCCGCTAATCCGAGGTCGCGTCGTTAGTCAGGGGTTAGTTCCGCACGTCTCCACGCGTCGTACGTAACAAAACCCTCCGCCGGCGAACGGCGAAGAGGGTCGACGACGCGTTTCTCACCTAGATGGATCATACATATTTACGTCGCGGTGCGGAACATCGACGGCTGTTTCGCGAGGAATGACTCAGAAGCTCTGCGCCCCTGCGACGTTCAACGCGGTCAGTGGGGGATGGGGGTTGTGGCTAGGGGGTGGAACGCGTGCTGGTTCTCTCGCGTACATTGCGCAGGATGCCGGCGCCTTGGCGTCGCGGTCGACTACGGTCGTTGTTTGCTTGCTTTACATCGCGTAAAGGTACGTTGACACATAGTCGCGAACATGGTAGAGCTAATCGGATGCACATGTGCTCGAACGTCGCTGGACTCCGAGCACATGTACACGGATGGCTCGGTTTTATAGGTGTTTGGGAGGTTGGAAGATCGTTCGAAGTTCGTCGATCGGACTCGTTCGTTTGCCATCGTTCGGAATTAATCGCATAGAAATCAAAGAACTAGGATAACCAAAGGCACGTGTGCTCGGATCTCGTGTATGGTGATGTATAGTAATACGGAGCACATGTGCCTTCGGTTGCCTTGATCCTTTCGATCCTGAGAGACTGT